ATTTCAGTAAAATGCCTATAACTCTAGACAGAAGACCTAAGAGCACCTATCATTTTGAGGTTTTTCATATCTTACTGAGGTCTACCTTATGTTCTTACTCTCGACTCAAAAGCGATTTGACACTTGGGAATGTTTCCTCGTTAGATTCTCCCCAGTCGATGTGTTAGAAGTGTTCTTCGAACTATTGAGAAAATTGTACATTGATTTAACTATTTTCGCTTCCGTATAAGCCATTAATATTCAGTTCTAGCTTGATTTTTCAATCTGTCTTTTTTCAGTTTTGCACCAAAAGACACCAATCCAAAGCCTTTCATTAATCGTCATAACTGATACTCAAAGCATTAAACAGAACTATTTTTTTATTTAGGTTCGATCCAACAGCTTTTCGACATGTGATTATCACGTTAAAATATAAATTATTATTTTTTTTTATTTAAGTTCCATTCAACAACTTATCAAAATGTAGGTATCAATTTAAAATATAAATTATTATTTTTTTATGTAGGTTCGATTCAATAATGTATCAAAATGTAAGTATGAATTTAAAATATAAATTTTTCTTTCTTTTTTATTTAGGTTCAATTCGACAATTTACCGAAACGTAAGTATCAATTTAAAATATAAATGATTATTTTTTATTTAGATGCGATTCAACAATCTATTGAAATGTAAGTATGAATTTAAAATATAAATTATTATTTGTTTTTTGTTTAGGTTCAATTCAACAATTTATCGAAATGTAAGTGTCAAATTAAAGTATAAACTATTTTTTTTATTTATGTACGATTCAACAGCTGATCGAAATGTAAGTGTGAATTTAAAGTATAAATTATTATTTGTTTCTCATTTAGGTTCAATTCAACAATTTATTGAAATGTAAGTATCAAATTAAAATATAAACTATTTTTTTTATTTATGTGCGATTCAACAGCTGATCGAAATGTAAGTATAAATCTAAAATATCAATTATTATTTGTTTTCTGTTTAGGTTCGATTCAACAATTTATCAAAATGTAAGTATGAATTTAAAATATAAATTTTTCCTTCTTTTTTTTATTTAGGTTCAATTCGACAATTTATCGAAACGTAAGTATCAATTTAAAATATAAATGATTATTTTTTTATTTAGGTGCGATTCAACAATCTATTGAAATGTAAGTATGAATTTAAAATATAAATTGTTATTTGTTTCTCATTTAGGTTTGATTCAACAATTTATTAAAATGTAAGTATCAAATTAAAATATAAATGATTGTTTTTTTTATTTAGTCCGACTCAACAACTGATCGAAATGTAAGTATGAATTTAAAATATAAATTATTATTTTTGTTTTTTATTTAGGTTCGATTGAACAGCTTCTCCAAATGTAAATATCAATGCGTTAAAAATTAAATGATGTACATTTGGGGTTGCCCAGTCTGGCCGGATACCCCATTGATATTTTTTTTCTATTATAAGGATATAACATACTATTGTTCGGATCATATGAGAGAGGATCATAGATAACCTCTAGATTGGTCCGAACAATACTATGTTTTATCCTTACAATAGTAGAGAAAAGTTACGAGCTCACAAATCAGCTGGCAGTGTTTCTCTACTGTTGTAAGGATAAAACATGGTAATGTTCGGGCGAATCTAGAGGTTATCTATGATCCTCTCTCATATGATCCGAACAATAGTATGTTTTATCCTTACAATAGAAAAAAAGTATCAATGGGGTATCCTGTCAGACTGGGCAACCCCATTTTTATACAAATAGTTTGTAGCCATTGTAGTTAGAGGGGTAGGTGAGAAAGAGGGGGAGATACGAAAATGTGCTGTGGAATACGATGACAAACGACATTGTGTACGATCGTTTACGGTGGTTGTATAGACGTCGTATTTCGTCGTATACGACACGACGATATACGGTCGTAATTCTGGCGGCAAGTAATACGGCGAAATACGGTCGTATACGATCGTAATTTACACCGTATACGACCGTACACGATCGGATACGCCGTCGTATACGATCGTTTACGACTGTCGTAATCCTCGTCCTGGACCTGTGCAAGGAATCCGACGCAAACTGGTTCGGATCCGATCGGTTTTAACGGAAGGCGTCGGATTCCGATGCAATCCGTTTCGGATCCAATCGGTTTCCGGTAGGATTTACAGGTCGGATTGAATCTCTTGGGTTATTTAATTTAATCAATCTCAACATTCTTCATTTTGATTATATTGTTGATTAGTTTTTACTATTTCATTTTGATTATTCATTGATCTTTGATCATAATCATTTGAATGATAATCTTCATGTGTATATGTGTCAGGCAAAGTTGAGATTTAGGCAAAATTAAACAAAGCTATTAAAAGACTTGAAATTTTAAAAAAGTTAAAAAACATAAAAATAAATAGTTGATCCTATAAATTTAAGTTAAGTTATATTCAACTTTAATTGAGATTTAACTAAGTTTAGGAAGATGTAGAGTTCGGCACTTTTTCTAATGCAAATCTAATTAAAACTTAGGAAGATGTAGAGTTCGCCACTATTTTCAATACAAATTGTATTGAATTTAGGAAGATGTAGAGTTCGCCACTGTTTTCAATACAAATCTAACTAAAATTTAGGAAGATGTAGAGTTCGCCACGTTTTTCTATGCAAATCTAAATAAAATATGGGAAGATGTAGAGTTCGCCACTTTTTCCAATGCAAATCTAAACAGTATATTGTAAGATGTAGAGTTCGCCACTATTTTCAATACAAACTGTATTGAATTTAGGAAGATGTAGAGTTCGCCACTTTTTTCAATGCAAATCTAAATAAAATTTAGGAAGATGTAGAGTTCGCCACATTTTTCTATGCAAATCTAAATAAAATATAGGAAGGTGCAGAGTTCGCCACTGTATTCTATTAAAATTTAATTGATTTTAGGAATTTTTAGAATTCGTCAGTATAGTCTGTCGAAATCTGGTTGAGTTTTGAAAGGCGAGAAATTCGAAAGATTAGACAATATATGTGGTTTGAATAGCAGTCAATTATAGTCTTTCAACAAAGTTATTGATATTTTTTTACTCTTTTAATAATTTATTGTCGTTGAGTTTTTTATATCAACTATTTGTTTTGATTCTGATCTTTACTAACAAGATCTGTTTATTCACAGAAAACTCGATAAATAGACTTATGTGGACATTGTCTTTCTTACGATTCAATATAAAATGCTATCAACAAAAACTGTAATAAATATTAATCTCTCGGAAAGTCATTTATATATGACCACCGTAAGAATAGCGGATAGCATACAATGAATCACATAGATGATTCAACAATCAATCAGTAGTATACCTGAAACATGTTGCTATGGATTGATAGAGTTCTCTTGTTGATAAATAGCACAATATATACATCTAAACTTTGATCATTCAATCAAAAAACAGCTATTCTATTTACGCTGGCAAAAAACACCCACCCGACCAAAAAAAGAAAAAAAGGAGGGGAATTAGGGCTATGTTTATTTCAATCCTTTTTCATATCTATGTTCATATACTTCAAGGGTACAGTTCTGCTTATTCTATATGTTTAGAATTTTAATGTAAAAGATAGATGTTTAAATGTTCAAAAACGAATTCGCTGGCAATATTGATAATATTGGTTTTTGTAATATTTTCTTTTTCGATATGAAAGACAAAGTATTATAAAGATTTTTAAAAGATGTCGATTATACTTCTTATAGTTCATCGATAAACTGTCTAGGCATTTATCGCATCATGCAGCAGTCGTTTGGGCGAAAAAAAAGAAAGTTTGTCAACGAATAACTTTTCAATCTCTTATGATACTGAACAAAAAAAAGTGTAGCTGTTTAATGAAATATTCAGCTACTCCTGTATTCTAACTGATATATTTCGAGCAAGGGCTAAAAAAAAAAATTCGTCAACTAATACCCTTTTGATCTCTAACGATATTGAAGAAATAAGCGTAGCTGTTTTATGATTGCTCAGCCACCGATTTATTGTAACTGATTTATTTCGAGCAAGGACTGAAAAAAAAAGAATATTTGTCAACTAATAATCTTTTAATTTCTAACGACACTAAAGAAATAAGCGTAGGTTTTTTAACAAATACTCAGGTACTCATTCATTCTAATTGTTTTATTTCGAGCAAGGATCATTTCAAGCGTCGAATACGTCTTTTACCTATTGATAATAAGTTATCAAATCGATTAAGATATGTATGAAAATGCTTAAATAGGTACGATGATTTTTATATAGCGGTAGACTTTCAATTGCTGATTACAAAAAGAAGTCCAATACGAAATTTTGTTAGAAGTGAATTAGGTATTTAAATCATATAATAGCTGTATGCATTTTTTTCCAAATATCTCTTTTAGACAGCTATGATAATGTTTAAATCGCGATAGATTTTCAATAGCTAGTTACATGAAGTACTGATATAAGCGAAAAGTTGTTACACAACAATCAGCTACTTAATCATTAAGTAGCTGTATATTATTTGAAAAAGTATCTCTTTCGAGAAGCTACGGTTTCAACATGAGTACACTTCTAACCATCTTTTATCGCTTCATATACTAATATCGATTAATCAATTTTTGCATCACATAGTAAAATTTTCAAGTCAGTATTTTGTACGACAAAAGAAATGCAACACCAACATATAAAACGTTAATCGAAATCTGTTGAACACTTATTCGTAAGGCGACGAAGAATAATCTTTTTATTCATGCCTTGCATGAGTACTATCTTTTCTCTAAATCTGCTATTGAAAGATTTAAGATGTTTACTTGCTTGCTCATAAAATTGTTTTCGAGATTCAACTTCTGATGTTGAATGAGAAGTCATCACTGTACTTATGATACGATTACATATGTGAAAACGAATGTTCTGCTTTTTTATTTACAGTTTATGTAAACGAATAATTATTTTTTTCTATTGATAGTCAGATCAACAATCAATAAAAAAAAATATCGCTGTTTCGCACCTACTAAAACTAATTTTGCCTAAGTTTAATTTTGCCTAAAGTTTAATTTTGCCTGAGACATATATGTTAATGGATCTTCAGAAAGTATTATTTGATGATTATCAAGCATTTTATAACCACCAATATTTTCAATAATTTGTTTTAAATTATTTTCTGTTATATTAAATTCTATTAAACGTGGATGATTAATTAATGTTTGACAATTAATTGTTAATAGTAATGTATCATGATTATCATTACCATGTCGTGCTTTATCTTCAGCCATTAAACGATACATATTAAGAATATAACGAATTTGTTCTTAAACATCAATAGATTTTTTAATACCATATGGACAATCAATAAAACCAATAAGTTCATATTTATTACAATAAGATAAACGTTGATAAAATTCATTTGATGTTAAAATTCTTTTTATTATATTATTTTGACGATAAAAAATAGCAATTTGTGTACATTTACCAATATTTCGATATTGTTCATTAGATGAAGCTTCACCAACACCATTAAATTCAACTAAATAACCATATGTATGAGCAATTTTTTGTGACCATATATTAAATTCATGACGAGTAAATTCAAATTTATGATCAGCATGACGATATTGTCCACAAATCATTGTTGTAAAAAGTACATTAAAATCAGCATTTGGTGTTGTTATAATAACAAGTCGTGGACATATATAACCAAATATATGTTTAACTAAATTTTCTAAATCATTTAAATATAAATGTTCAATAACTTCAATAAGTGTAACAACATCAAAATTTTGAAAACAATTACATATTTTTGTAGCATCACCTAGAAAATAAAATAATAAATATACAGTACACTTCAAAAGTCTCGTACCACTTTTTGAAATTTAATTCGATTATATGCTTGTATAGTTGGAGGTCGAATACTGTATATATACACCTATTTAGTACGATAAAGCGTTGAATATGAAATACAATTTTAAAAAAATTCAGCGCTAAGAAAAAAAATGACGATCATATGAAAATGTTGAAGATAGTTTATTTTGAGATTCTCGATTTGTGCGATGAAGATAGGGCGTGAGTGGAGATGTCGTGAAGTCACATAACTACACCTACATCAGAGCTGGGCATAGAGCAAGACAAAACTATAATTTATGTCCTATACCGAGCTCTGTCCCACACTCCTCACCCATCTGGAACATTATTTTTATTTCGGCCAAATCGATACACTCCGAAAGAATGACAAAACGATATTATTGTAATGAAGGATCCTGTCGGATTAGGTCATCTATTCAGAATTGAGAAGGGATGACTCTTCTTATGAACCATACTTACACTCACATCCACATGTACACTCCAACTTCCAAATAGTGTGTTTTGTAGTACTATATCGCGTACAATTTCTAAGTAAGTTTGGCGTCTGGTCACATGTACTATGGTCGGCACTAATTGCATTTTTTCCCTATCAAAGAGAGGATGATCGGTAATATTAAGTATTTAGCTTGCAGTCTGTGAAAAATTCTTCAACATGTCTCGACTTGCTCTCCAACATGATATATTTGGTTTCTTAATTAAGAATACGTGACCTAATCTGACGCAATCCTTTGTAACAATAATTATCATTTTGTCTTTTTTTTTTCTTAGCACTGAAGTTTGTTTTTTTCTTTTATTGTA